AAAAATTTATGTATTCATTCTGTTATTGCAGGGCTAGCTGTTCTAAATCATTAGTACATATTTGGATTATCTCTAGCTTCTGACTATTCATGCTGTTGTCAGAATTCCTTGTATGTGTCAGTAGATGCCCTGTGTGAGAGTTTTTTTAGCCTACATACCTTGGAGTAGAAATCAGTGAAATCAGTAGCTAGGAGTGGGCCATACTATATCCAGATCTTCAGTTGTAATAGAAATGCCAAACTGTTTTCAAAAGCAGCTGCATTATTTTACACTTCATATTTTTTCCAACTCTTGACCCTGCTTGATTTTTAAACTTTGCTTATTAGTAGAGATACAGTGATATCTCATTGTAATTTCAATTTGTTATCTCTTTGATAAGCACTTTTTCATTGTTTTCTGGCCAATTGAATTTTTTCTTTCAGGTATTGACATTTTTTTTTGGCATACTGGGGCTTCCTGCTTGCTAGGCAGTTGCTATATCACTTGAGTCACATCTCCAGCCCTAGGAATTGATTTTTTAGGTTTTTGGCCCATTAAAAAAATTATATTGTTGGTTTTTAGATGTATGGGTGTCACCCCTCCTAGGTTTAATGGTTTGTTGAAAGAATCCATAGAAGAAAAAGGGCTGATAGAGTGGCTCAAGTGATAGAGTCTGCCTCACAAGCGTGAGGGTTCAAACCCTAGTACCTAAAAAAACCCCAAAACTTAACAACAACAAAAAAGACAAACCCATAGAAGTTGACATGTAATTTAGCTAAGGTTTATTACAGTGAAATGATGCAAACAAGCTGGGTGTGCTGGGACATACCTGCAATCCCAGCAAGTGAGAGGTTGAGGCAGGAGGGTGGTGAGTTTGAGGCCAGCCTGGGCTGCATAATGAGTACCAGGCCAACCTGGGTAATATAGTGAAACCCTAATCTCAAAAAGAAAAGAAAAAAAAAAAAGATACAAAAAAACCTACTAAATAAAGTCAGCAAATGAAAAGGCATAGGGGAGGGGAGGAAGTCTGCAGGAAACCAGTTAGAAGCTTCTAAGAATCCTCTCCCAGGAAATATGCAGGAACATGTTTATTTCCTCCCTCAATGAGCTATGACAATATATGGAAAGTGTTGCCTATAAGGGAAGCTTATTAGTGCCCAATATTTTTGTTGTGGGTTGGCTACATAGGCTCCTTCTTCCTAGCATATACCAAAACTTGAGACCCTAAAAAGGAAAGCATGTGTTCAGCTTAGGTACAGTGATCTACTCTTCACATTTGGGAAATTTTAAAAAATTATTTATTTATTTATTTTAAATTTTTTCATGGCACTGGGGTTTGAATTTAGGGCCTACACCTTGAGCAAGTCTAGCAGTATTTTTTTTTTTTAACATTTTATTTTTTTTTTTTATTCATATGTGCATACAAGGCTTGGTTCATTTCTCCCCCCTGCCCCCACCCCCTCCCTTACCACCCACTCCACCCCCTCCCGCTCCCCCTCAATACCAGCAGAAACTATTTTGTCCTTATCTCTAATTTTGTTGTAGAGAGAGTATAAGCAATAATAGGAAGGAACAAGGGGTTTTGCTGGTTGAGATAGGGATAGCTATACAGGGCATTGACTCACATTGATTTCCTGTGCGTGGGTGTTACCTTCTAGGTTAATTCTTTTTGATCTAACCTTTTCTCTAGTTCCTGGTCCCCTTTTCCTATTGGCCTCAGTTGCTTTAAGGTATCTGCTTTAGTTTCTCTGCATTAAGGGCAACAAACGCTAGCTAGTTTTTTAGGTGTCTTACCTATCCTCACCCCTCCCTTGTGTGCTCTCGCTTTTATCATGTAGCAGTATTTTTTTGTGAAGGGTTTTTTTTTACCTGGGCTGTGGCTTTGAACCATGGTCCTTCTTATCTGTTGCCTCCTGAGTAGCTAGGATTACAGGTGTGCTCGAGCCACTGGTGCCTGTCCATTTGGGAAATTTTTGTATTAGTTTAGGGAACTGTTTGCCAGCCGTATTCACAGATTCTAGCTAAGGTTAACTTTGCAAGCAGCTTTCTAAGGGTAGACAGTTTTGGGCCTGCTATTTTAACTCATGTCTGTTCAGTAGGAATTTTGTTTATATTCAGGATTCTAGGTTCTCATAATGTTATGTGTGCTACAGGCATCTTCCACTCTGCTGCTTTATCTTTCATCCTTTTTATGGTATATTTTGATGCATAGATGTTTTTAATTCTAATGTAGGTAAATCTATTATTTTTTTCCCTTTGGGCTGTTTCTTATATCTTATTTAAGAAATCCTTTCTTACTTCAAAGCCATAATGATATTTATGTTCATTGTTTATATAAAACGTATTGTTTTGCCATTCACATTTATGTCTGTAATATACCTGGAATTAAGTTTTTATGGATATTATGAAGTAGGGAGTCAATTTCATTTTTTCCCCACATGTGTAACCAGTTATCTCAGAATAAAAGACAGTTCTGCCGTAACTCTGTCATATATCATATGATTCAGTTCCTAGATTTCTTTTCTTTTCCATTAGTTCCTCTGTCCCTATCTTAACTCTGGCTCTATTATAAGTCTTCATATATGATAGGGCTATTTCTCTCTCACTATTCTTTTCTGCTAGTGCTTGGCCATTCTTGATTTTTTTTTGTACTTCTGTATTAATTTTAGAGTCAGTTGATTAAGTCTGTTAAAAAAACAGGATTTTTTTGTGGGGGAGGATTTGGGATTACATTAAATCTACATATCAGTTTAGAGATAATTTTTACTGACTCCTTTAGTTTATGAGTATGATACATCTCTTCATTTGTTTAGATATTCTTTAATTTTAAATTTTTGTCTAAATTCATAAATTTTACTCATTAAAGCCCTGGACAATCTTTGATTAAACTTACTTTTTTATTTTTGTGGTATACAGAATTGAGCCTAGGGCTTCATGGATGCTATAGATGTACTCTGTCTGTTAGCTACACCTTTAGCCCCTAGAATACTTTTTTTTTTGAGATAGGGTCTTATTATATAGCACAGGCTGGTGATCCTTTCTTCTCAGCTCCCTCCTGAGTGCTAAGATTATAAGCATGCATCACCATGCCAACTTCAGACTTACTTTTAAGTATAGTGTATTTTAAAATTCAATGTAAGTCATATGTTTTTAAACTTTGATTTTCTGTTTGTTGCTACATAAAGATTATGATTACAGTAAAACTCACATTGTACCAGGGTCAGCTACCCAAACTAATACTGAAAAAATGCAGAATTAAAAAATGCAAATTGTATCCTCCAAAATTACCTTTTTTTTTTTTTTTTTGGGTGGCAGAATTATAAACAGATAACAAGAAAACTGTGCTTTTGTTCTGTAAATAGCCTTTAATAAATGACAATGCTGAAGATTTAAACTAAGGGGTTGCTAGGCTAAGGCTTTTAATGAATATTTTTAAATCAAAATAAAGGTTGAATTTCTGAAAACAGGGAATGCTATTGATTATTATATTATGGTTCTAGTCTATTAGCATCACTAAGCCTTCTAATGTGTTTTTCTTTTATTTAAGGTGAAAAGGATTCAATGATTTTTGACTGTACTGAATGCTATGATCCAGTTACTAAACAATGGACAACTGTAGCTTCAATGAATCACCCCCGCTGTGGCTTGGGCGTGTGTGTGTGTTATGGGGCTATCTATGCTTTGGGTAATTATGCTGTTTGATTTAAGGGTAACTGATATTATTTGAATTCTTAGGTTCTAATTACTTTAAAGATATTCCTTCCATCCCATAAGAAATATCTCTTTTTAGCTCTATAAATTCTTATTCTAAAAATTGTATTACTTGGAAAATATTGTCAAGTATGAGGGGGTGGTTTTTTGTTTGTTTTGTTTTTTGTGGTGCTAGAGAGTGAACCCAGGGCTGTGTACATACTAGACAAGCACTCTTATCACCAAACCATACCCCCAACAGCCCTTTATCTTGATTTTACAGGACTTTTTCTCTGTTATCATTCTCTAACCTTTCATTTCTTTGTGAAATTTTTAAAGGAGATAGAGATAAAATATAGAGACATGTCCAGGGAAGCACTTTTATTTAATTAAATCTCATTATTTTTAATTAACTATATAAATTTCTACCACTCTGTAAAGTAGCCTGATTATATCTAATATAAGAAAGCATATAATAAAAAATTAAAGACACCAGGAGTCTTTTCTTCCATTTCCTGCATGGGGATCAAGAGATGTTCCTCTGTTTTTCCCCCCACTTCTCCCTACTTTATCCTGTTATAATAAAATAAATCCTTGCTAAAATGTCTAAAAAAAAATTAAAGACACCAAAAGGAAGTTCTGCATTATATTAGTTTTATTATTACAGGTTTAGTGAATGATTTTGAGCAAGTTATTCTAATTCTTTGATTATCTCTATAACGAATATTACAGTCAGAGTTGTTCCCAGGGAAAATTATAAGTCAATATAGCTTTCACCTTTCCTATTTTCTCTTTGTCATTCCTTCTTCAATTCACTGTATGGAATTCAGTGTCCTCCTCTACCCACCACTCTCAAAACCTATTCTGGAGCCGGGTACCATTGGCTCATACCTGTAATCCTTGCTACTCAGGAGGCAGAGATCAGGAGGATCTTGGTTCAAGGCCAGCCCAGGCAAATAGTTTGAGAGACCCTACCTCATGTGTTAGAATGCCTGCCTAGCCTTAACAAGTATGAGGCCCTGAGTTCAAACCCCAAAACTGGGGGAAAAAAAAAAAGAAAGAAACTATTCTAGAAAAGATATGAGTTACCTTAGTGTGAATTTTATCACTTCCATGCATATTTATATTTTGCAATTATACCTCAAATTGTAGAAAAGAACTTTTTTTTGTGTGAGACACGGTCTCACTAAGTAGCTCAAACTGGCCTGGAACTTGCTATATAGGCCAGGCTAGCCTGAACTTGAGATCTTCCTGCCCCAGTGTCCCATATGCTGGGATTATAGATGTGTTCCACCATGCCCAGTTGCAAAAAACATTTTCAGGAATTGGAGAATGTTAAGAAAATGCTACTGGTGATGAAAGGCCTTTTTTGAAGTTCCTAAAATGACAGTAAATGGGTAGTATACTCTGATTAGTCTGAGAATTGGCCTTGATTAGTATAACCACTCTGAATATACAGAAGTCATTTTTTATAATATTTTGGGGATTGAAGGCATAACTCAAGTGGTAGAGTATCTGCCTAGCAAGGGTGAGGTCATAAGTTTAATTCCCAGACCACACAAAAAAAGTTTCACAAAATGTTTCCTATGCTGTATGTTGAACTTTTTTTTTGTTTCATTTTACTCTAGACAGAGTTAAAAAACATGAGTTTTACTCATAGTCATATTCTAACTTTTCATTTCATCTTAGACATGTAATACTCATCCATAATATGAAATAGTTAGGTTAGATGTTTTCTAAGGTCTTTGCCATAAATAAAATTACTTTATCCCAGAAAAAATATTTTTCTGTTTGATTACAGGTGGATGGATTGGAGCTGAGATAGGGAATACCATCGAACGATTTGATCCTGATGAAAATAAATGGGAAATAGTTGGCAATATGGCTGTGCCACGCTACTACTTTGGGTGCTGTGAAATGCAAGGTAATAATCACTTTTATAAAATATTTTTTTCTCTTAGATCCCCAGCATTGCAAAAAAATTTTCCCTTCTCTGCCTCTATACACACATACATACACACACACACTTACTTAAAACTGAGTTTGTGGCTTTATTCTCAACAGTGTATTTTAGGTCTGTTAGTATTGAATGGTTGACACTAGCAGTTATAGAAGTTCTGCCTTTTGCCTCTCTTTTTTTTGTTTTGCAGTACTAGGGTTTGAACTCAGGGCCTCATGCTTGTTAGGCAGGCACTCTGTCACTTGAGCCACTCCGCCTACCTTGTTTTGTGTTGGGTATTTTTGATAGGGTCTTTTGAACTATTTGCCCAGGCCGGCCTTGAACCATGAGCCTCCTGATCTCTGCTTCCCAAGTAGCTAGGATTACAGGTGTGGGCCACTGGCACCTGTCTTCCATTTGCCTCTTATTGAGCTTTATTTCTGTATTGCAAAATAATTAACTTTTTTCTGTAATAAACAAAGCTAGATTAAAAATTTCAGGTAGGCAGAAACACCTGGCTAGCAAAATAAGCGTTTGAAATGTCATCCATTATTACCATTTTTTTTCCCATGAACACCTGAGTTAGTTTTCAAAGTAGGGATAGAGTATCAAAAACAATTTTCTACTTCTAGGTTTCTTTCATTTTTTTTGTTTTATTTTTAGCAAAGCTCTGCAATTCTGTTCACAGAGGATGTAATCCTATGACAGATTTGCAAAATGTTGTACTGCGTATTAAAATGATGCATAGAGCTGGGCACTGTGGCTTACACCTGTAATCCTAGCTACTTAGGAGGCAGAATTTGGGAGGATCATAGTTCAAGGCCAGCCCTGGCAAAAGGTTCATGAAACTGCATCTCAATCAATAAAGCTGGGCATGGTGGTGCACACCTATCATCCCAGCTACACAGGAAGCATAAATAGGATGACTGTAGTCCAGGATGTCATGGGCATAAATGAGACTGTATTTGAAAAATACCTAAAGCAAAAAAGGGTTGGGGATGTGGCTCAAGTGGTATAGCACCTGCCTAGCAAGCTTGAGGCCCTGAGTTCAAACACCATTACCAAAAAAAAAGAAAAAAAATTAGGGATATTCATTTAAAGTGACACTGAATTGTCAAAGAACTTAATGATACTGAACAAAATAATTTGTCAGATAAAGATTTTCTGTCTCATTGTCTGCTTGGTGATCTTAATTTCCAGATCTACAGCCATCATTCACAGGAAAGAGAGAGACAGACGGACAGACAGACAAACATGGATTCCTTTCCCACCCAAAAGAAAAATGATATGGACTTATCTAGGAATGACATTGCCCTCTTTAGTGATTCAAGTGAACATAAAATAGAGAATTTAAATTAGAATAGTTACATAGCTAGATTAAGGTTTCAGGATCAATTACTAGAGTACAAGAGAGTGAATTTATAGAGGGTTCCTTGTTTTGTTTTGCCTTTTTTTGCGGTACTGGGGCTTGAACTCAGGGCTTCACCTTGAGCCACTCCACCAGCCCAATTTTTTTGATAGGGTTTTTTGAGATACAGTCTGATTAACTTTTTGCCTGGGCTAGCTTCGAACTGCAATCCTCCTGATCTCTGCCTCCTGACTAGTGAGGATTACAGGTGTGATTTTTTTTTTTTTGGTACTGGTGTTTGAACTCAGGGCCTCACGCTTGCTAGGCAGGTGCTGTACCACTTGAACCACTCAACCAGCCCATAATATCCCTAATTTTTTTGCAACATGATTAAATAAATGTAAGAAGTGATAATAGACAGTTGATGATAGTTGATTTTTTTTCCTTTTAAATAGTATTGTAAGGCCTAGAATTAAATACATCATCAGTATAGCAAACATAGACTCCAGCTATTACTTCTCATCATTATCTTATTTTCTATAGTATCTTAGCAAAAATATTTCATTTCCAGGTTTAATTTATGTAATTGGGGGAATCAGCAATGAAGGAATAGAGCTTCGTTCTTTTGAAGTTTATGATCCACTTTCTAAGCGCTGGTCTCCACTTCCTCCGATGGGAACCAGGAGAGCCTATCTTGGGGTGGTTGCACTCAATGACTGCATCTATTCTATTGGAGGGTGGAATGAGACACAAGATGCTCTTCATACTGTTGAAAAATATTCCTTTGAAGAGGTAGGTTGGATGATTTGAAATATTTATTATCTTGTTTTCATGTCTGTTAGATCTGTAGTGATGTGCTCTCTTTAACTCATGATTTTGGTCATTTATTTATTTATTTTTCTCTTTTTATTTTCAAAGAACCAATTTTTGGCATCATTGATTTTTTTTTTCTATTGGTTACCCATTTTCTATTTCCTTGATTTGTAATTTATTTTTCCTTCCTATTAATATTTTTTCCTCCTATTAATTCTGATTTTTTTTTTTTTGTGGTTCTGGGGCTTGAACTCAGGATCTTCACCTTGAGCCACTCCACCAGCCCTATTTTTGTGAAGGGTTTTTCAAGATAGGGTCTCGGAAACTATTTGCATGGGCTGGCTTCAAACCATGATCCTCCTGATCTCTGCCTTTGAGTAGCTAGGATTACAGGTGTGAGTTACCCGTGCCTGGCTTATTTTGGATTTTTGCCCTTCTTTTTCTAGATTTTTTTTTTTCTAGATTCTTAAAATAGGAGCTGAAGATAATGATCATAGACTCTACTTTTTCTATAATATAATTTTTTGAGTGAATCTTGCTATATAGCCTAGACTGTTCTTGAACTTGAGATCCTCCCACCTCTGCCTCCCAAGTGCTGGGATTATAGGTATATGCTATAACCAGCTACAATATAATCATTTAAAGTTATAAATGTTTTCCAAATACCACATTAACTGCATACTACACATTTTGATTTTTTTTTTTTTTATTGTTGCTTGGTTGGGGTTGTTTTGGTGATACTGAGGGTGTTAGTGCTTATGAGGCAGGTGCTCTACCGTTGGAGACACATGCCCAGCCTTTTTTTTGCTTTGGTTATTTTTGTGTTATGGTCTTGTGTTTTTGCCCTGGCTGACCTGGACCTTGATCCTCCTGTTTATGCCTCCTGGGTAGCTGAGATGACAAGTGGATGCCACTGTGCCCAGCTATTGGTTAAAATGGGTCTTACTAACTTTTTGCCTGGAATGGCCTCAAACTGCAATCTTCCCAATCTCTCCTTCCCAGGTAGCTGTGAGCCATTGCGCCTGGCTGATATGTTGTGTTTTAATTAGCATTTATCTTAAAATATTTTCTAATTTCCCTGATAATTTCTTGTTTGACCAGTGGGTTATTAGAAGAATGTTATTGGGTGATTGGGCTGGTAAATCATCTAAAGCAATCATTAAGAAAAAATGTGAAACAAACAAAAAAAGAAAAATGTGAAGCTGGGTATCGGTGACTCACACCTTTAATTCTAGCCACTCAGGAGGCAAAGATCAGGAAGATCTCAGTTCAAGTCCAGCCCAGACAAATAGTTCACGAGACCCTCTCTCAAAAATACTGAACACAAAAAAGGGCTGGCAGAGTGACTCAAGTGGTAGTGCATCTTCCTAGCAAGCATGAGGCCCTGGGTTCAAACCCCAGTGCTGCCAAAAAAAAAAAAAAAAAAAAAGGTGAAGTAATATAACTAGACAATGAAGGAGATAAAAATGGAATACTAAAACAACACAAAGATACAAAGAGGCTGGGGATGTAGCTCAATGATAGAGCACTTGCCTAACATGCACAAAGCCCTAGGTTCTATTCCAAGCACTAAAAATAAATAAGTAAACAAATGAGATTAAAAAGTGGGGAAAAAAGAATGAAAGAATGAATTTTGATTAAGTATAAAAAAAGTATAAATTCTAAACACCCTTTAAAAGTCAGAGATTGTTAGCCAGGTACAGTGGTATGTGCCTGAATCCCAGCTTCTCAGCAGGCTGAGGTGGGAAGATAATTTGAGCCTATGAGTTCAAGATCAGCCTGGATAACATAGTGAGATCCAACTCCCCACCACCTTGCAAAACTCCAAATGAAAGTCAGAAATTATCAAACTGTATTAAAAAACAAGCCACAACTATACATAACTTATAAGAAATGCAGTTTATAAACACATAGATAAACTAAAAGTAGATGGAGGGGAACAAGGGTAGAGCTCAGTGTTAGCATTCCTGTTTAGTATGGACAAGGCTCTGGGTTCTACTGCCTATACTAAAAAATGAAGGAAGGAGAAGGGGAGGGGGAGAGGAAGGGGAAGAGGTAGCAGAAGAGGAAGGGGAAGGGGAAAAAGGAGAAGGGTGGAAGAAGGGAGATGCACCATGATAATGATAATGACTACACTTAATATTGGACATAGTAGACCCCAGCACAGAGATATAAACATTTCATAACCAAAAACGATTAATTCAAAAGAATACATAATATTCTCAATGTATGTACACATACCAACAGAGCTTCAAATACATTGAACAAAACCTGACATAAATTACAGGAGAAAGAGACAAATCCACAATTAAAGATGGAGATTTCAACACTCCTTTCTAGTAATTGACAGAATGGTTGGACAAGTGAGATAGAATAGAGGAGACTTAATAACCAACTTGACCTAATGGAAATTAGAATTCTTTTTTGGTATATTACCTAGGAGTAGAATTGCTTGGTCATATGGTAACTATATTTAACCTCAGGAACTGCCAGAATATTTTCTGAAGTGGGTATACCATTTAACTACCATAAATGTATAAGGGTTCCAATTTCACCACATCCAATGCTTGTTGTTTTTTATTTTTTTTAGGGGTACTGAGATTTGAACTCAGGGCAGATATTCTACCACTTGATTCATGCCCCCAGTGCTTTTTGCCTTAGTTATTTTTCAGGTGGAGGCTCATGTTTTTTTTCCAGGTACTGGCCTGGGACAGTGATCCTCCTACTTAAGGCCTCCCAGGTAGCTGTGATTATAGGTATGAGCCAACAATACCTCCTTTAGCTATCCTAGTAGATGTGAACTGGTATCTCACAGTGGTTTTGATTTGTATGTTAGTAACCTTTCATGTGCTTATAGGTCATGCATATATCTTCTTTGAAGAAGTATTTATTCGATTTGTCCATTTTATGTAACTTATTTATTCAATTTATTTATTTTTAGCAGCAACTGAGGCTTGAACTCAGGGCTTCATACTTGCTAGGCAGGCACTCTACCACTTGAACTGGCCTTGGACTGTGATCCTGTTACCTATGCCTCCCAGGAGCTGGGATCACAGGCATTACCAAGTCCAGCTTGTGGTTGATATAAGAGCTTGCTAACTTTTTGCCCAGGCTGGCCTTGAACCATGATCCTCCAATCTCTGCCTCATGAGTAGCTGGGATTACAGACATAAGCCACTGTGTTCTGCTTGTCTATTTTAAAATTGGATTGTTTAATCTTATTATTGAGTTGTAGGAGTTCTTTATACAATGTAGATGGGACTCATTTGTCAAATATATGGTTTGCAAAACAATTCTCATTGTATGAATTTTCTTCACTTTCTTGATAGTATTTTTAGAAACACAAGTTTAAATTTTGATGTCCAATTTATTTTTCCTTTTGTCACTTGTTCTTTTAGTGTCATAACTAAGAAACCATTGCTTAGTAACACAATTACATAAATTGTAATTTATGCTTTTTTAATGTTTTTCTCCCCTAACAGTTTTAGGTCTCTGATTCTTTTTTTTTTTTTTTTTTGGTGGTATTGGGGTTTGAACTCAAGGCTTGTGCTTGCTAGTCAGACACTGTACCACTTGAGACAAGGCTCCAGCCCCCCTTTTTGTTTTGCTTCAGTTATTTTTCAGGTAGGGTCTCCAGTTTTGCCCACAGCTGGCTTCCAACCTTGATCCTCCTATCTATAGTCACCCATGTAGCTGGGATTACAGATGTGCACCAACAATGCCTGGCTTATGATGAGAAGGGGGGTCTTGCTAATTTATTGTCTAGGCTGGTCTTGAATTACAATCCTCCTGATCTAAACCTAAGTAGCTGAGATTATAGACATGTACCACCATACCTGGCTTATATTTTTTTGGCAGTATTGGAGTTTGAACTCAGGGGCTTGTGTTTTCTAAGCAGGTACTCTACCACTTGAGTCATGCCCCCAGTCCTTTTTGCTTTAGTTATTTTTGAGATAGGGTCTTCTGTTTATTCCAGGCCTTCTGGACTTCCATCCTCTTATTTATGCCTCCTGTGTAGCTGGGATAACAGGCGTGTACTACCATTCTTAACTTTTATTGGTTGAAATGAGGTCTTGTGAACTTTTTGCCTGGGCTGGCCTCAAATTGCAATTATTCCTATCTCTTTCTCTGTGTTTCTCTCTTTTTTCTTTTTGGTGGGATTGGAGTTTGAATTCAAGGCTTTTTGCACTTGTAAAGCAGGTGCTCTTATGCTTGAGCCATACCTCCAGTTCCACCATTCCTCTGGTAATTTTGGAGATGGAGTTTTGCGAACTATTTGCCCAGGCTGACCTCGAATTGAGATCCTCTGGATCTCAGCCTTCTAAGTAGCTAGCATTATAGGAGTGAGCCTCTATGCAGATCTGAGGGTTTTTGTTGTTGTTTTGTTGGGGAGGCTCAATTCTGTTCATTAATCTTTATGTGTATCCTTATGTCTGTACTGTATTGCCTTGATTATAGTAGTATTGTAGTAGTTACTTTTGGAATCAGAATATGTGTCTACCAAGTTAGATCTTCTTTAAAAATTGGTTTAGCTATGGGTCCTTTGAATTTCATACATATTTTAGAATCAGCTTGTCAAATCCTGCAAAGAAGCCAGCTGGATTTTTGGTAGGAATTACAGTGAATCTGAGATTAATTAGGAACATTTTCCCATCTTTTTGTTTGTTTTTTGGTGGTACTGGGGCTTGAATTCAGGGCCTTCACCTTTAGCCACTCCACTAGACCTATTTTTGTGAAGGGTTTTTTGAGATAGGGTCTTGTGAACTATTTTCCTGGGCTGGCTTCGAACCACGATCCCCCTGGTCTCCGCCTCCTGAGTAGCTAAGATTATACGTGTGAGCCACCAGCACCTGTGTACATTTTCCCATCTTAACAATATTAAGTCTTTTGTTTCATGAATCTGGTTATGTCTCCCCTTTTGTTTAGGTATTCATTTTGTTTCAAGTGTTTTATCATTTTCAGTACCTTGTACTTTATTGGTTTTACTCCAAAGTATTTTACTCCTTTTGATGCTATTGTGAACTGAATTGTTTTATGTCATGTTCAGATGTTCATTGTTAAGTGTGAAGAAATACAATTGATGTTTGGATATTGGTCTAGCATACTTCAACCTTGATGCACTAATCTAATAGGTGGTTGTTGTGTGGTGCTGGGGATCAAACCCAAGGCCTCACATGTGCTAGACAAGCACTCTAGTACTGAGTTACACCCTCTTGCCCAACAGAATGTTTGTGTGTGTGTGTGTGTGTGTGTGTGTGTGTATGTGTGTATTCCTTAAGATTTTTCTATGTACAAGAGCACATCATCTATAGAGACTATTTTACTTCTTAAATCTGAATGCATTTATTTATTTGGTGGTACTGGGGCTTGAACTCAGGGTCTCATGCTTTCTAGGCAGGTGTGCTACCACTTGAGCCACTCTGTCAGATATTTTTTGTGTTGGGTATTTTCCAGATAGGGTCTTGTGAACCATTTGCCCCAGCCTGGCCCTGAAACTCAATCCTCCTGATCTCTCCTACTGAGTAGGTAGGATTACAGGCATGAGCCACCAGCACCTGGGTTCATTTTCATTTCTACTTGCTCTGGCTAGAATTGTTGAATAGAAGTGACAAAAGTGGACATCCATGTCTTACAAACCATAAATATTTTGATTCTCATTCTGATGACTTCAAACTTTGATGATATTTTAAATTTCTTTCACCTTCCACATTGATACAATTTGCATCTATATAATATAGCAAGCAAACTTTAAAAAATTGCCTCGTTTTTTGAGACATGGTCTTGCAATATAGGCCAGGCCAACCTGAAACTTGCTGTGTAGCCCAGGCCCAGCTGGAACTCATGATCCTCCTGCCTCAGCTTCCTGAGTGCTGGGATTATAGATGTGCACCACCACACCAGTGAAAGTAAACTTTTTTTTTTTTTTTTGCAGTCCTGGGGCTTGAACTCACCTTAAGCCACTCCACCAGCCCTTTTTTGTGAAAGGTTTTTTCAAGATAGGGTCTCACAAACTATTTGCCTGGACTGGCTTCGAACTTCGATCCTCATGATCTCTGCCTCCTGAGTAGAGGAGTAGTAGGATTACAGGCGTGAGCCACCAGTGCCTGGCAAAGTGAACTTTTTGAGGACACTTCCTGTTGCTAATTTTTCTGTATGGCTGTAAAATGAATAGATTTTAGCTCCAAAACAATTACTTATCAATAATGACTTACCTTGGATTTTAATGCATAAATCCAAAATTTTAATGCTATTTACTATTACTAAAATCTTACATCATAGATCCAAACCATGAAGATAATATAAAACATGTTTATCATCTTGCAGAGTTTGTTTTGAGATCACTTGGAATAAAAAGCCAACTACCAGGCTAAGGAGTAGCTCAGTGGTAGAGTGTTTGCCTAGCGTGTGTGAGGAGTCCCTGGGTTTTATCCTTAACCCTACAATGGAAAAAAAAGAAAAGAAAAGAAAAAAATGTATCTTTAAAAAGGCAAATCAGAACTCTAATTTAATACACTGATAGAAATGAAACAATACAGGATAAGCCTCATAGTCCCTTTATTTGTCAAGTAGCATTTTATGAGGGTGGAGGTTAATTCTCCTCAATTATAAATACAGGACTAAAATATCCTAATTTATCTTAACCTTAAGTTATGTACCTTTTGTGAACCTATTTTCTGTTTTTTGAAACAAAATCTCACTGTGTAGCCCAGGTTGACTTGGAAGTTGCTATATATCCCAGGTTGGCTTCAAACTGGTGATCTTCCTGCCTCAGTCTCCCAAGTGCTGAGATTACAGATGTGTACCACCATGCCTGACAACACACCTGTCTTTTAAAATACAAACATTTTTCAGCTATGTCAGCTTTGTGATATATTCCATAATTGTAAATGATCATAGCATTCAAATTTAATCTGGTACTCTAAAGAATTATCCCTGGTTTTAGTATTTCAGAATTTCACTTAAGTTCAAATCAGAAATACACATTAACTGTGTATCTGTACTAGTGCTATACTGGATAATAAGATGACAAGCTCATTGAATCACTGTCCTTGAAAAGTTCATTTTCTAACATTGATGAACAACAGTGTTCACTTTTTATATTTTAAAAAACTACCTACATGGTATGCTTTATTTAGATAAATCACTTATTTATTACCTGTCTACTTGCTCGTTTCTATCCTTATTACTTCTTAGGGCTTTTATTAGCTTTCCTATTTAATGAGTATTGACATTTTCACTAAAATGTAGGACACTACCAGTAATTTTGGCTAAAACAGCTTGTTAGAATTTCTTTAGGGAGTGATGTATACCACAGTTACCAAACATTTCGTGTAAAGAGCTACAGAGTATATTTTTTACTCTGTGGGCCACATACAATCTCTTCTTTCCCTTTTTTAGAATAACCTTTTAATATGGAAAACTCATTCTTTGTTCTCAGGCTATACAAATATAGACTGTAGTTCCCAACTCTTGAAAATATGTTCTGCAGATTACTAACTCTACAGGATGGTCCTTGAAACAAGGATTCCATGGTCAAATAAATTTGGCAAGTATTGTATGCTATATCATTCTCTTGGAAAGTTTAAGTTTTTTTGTTAGCATATTAAAAGGCCCATCAGTATATAAGTATCTTTTTCCTTGGAGTTCTGTGAGTCTTTTGTTTTGAGTATATATCCTACTTATATTCCACAGACCTAGGTTTTCAAAATGCTGGCCTATATATTATTTCTAGATCATCTCCTGATCATAATTTATAATCAGACATGTTTTCCTATAATTTTCCTCTGAGTTTACTACTTTGTCCATGCCTACTCAAAAAATTGATTTTAAAAGTTCCAATATTTATTTGACTGGATTGTTTGAAATTTAAACATGTAAAGCAGCCTATCTGATTTCTGAGATTTTATTATCATTTTTATGACACTACTAACGTTTATGTTTTTTCTCTCTTAACCAGGAAAAATGGGTTGAAGTTGCCTCAATGAAAGTGCCTAGAGCAGGCATGTGCGTTGTTGCTGTCAATGGTCTTCTGTATGTTTCTGGAGGCCGATCTTCCAGCCATGATTTCTTGGCCCCAGGTACCTTGGACTCAGTTGAAGTTTATAACCCCCATTCAGATACATGGACAGAAATTGGTAATATGATCACTAGTCGTTGTGAAGGGGGTGTTGCTGTACTATGAAATGTAAAGCATAAGAGTACAAGGAACATCTTGAAAATGTTGGATCTTACCTTTTGCAAATCAAACAATGTATTTGGTAATAGGCCCCTCTGAATCTTTTTTTTTTTTATTGTAGGCCCCTCTGATTCTGTTAGTTTTTCATTTATTGGGTAGATAAGTAACTGAATAGTGACTTTTCTAAAAATTTGGATGAGAATGGGTATGGGATATATTCTAAATTAATAATGAGCTCACACAAATTTGCCAAGCTTACCAAACAATAAAAATGCTGTTTATCCTCTAGAATTATCCAGTTACCCATAGAGTCTTAATTGTAAAAATTGTTTCCTAGGGGCTGCTGGGAAAATAGCCCCTTTGATTGTTTCTCCAGTATAATTTCAAATTTTAACATAACCTGTATATGTTGTAGGAATAATATCTATGAGAAGGCTTAAAGAATTCTATACATTAATGATTTGATCCAGAGCATAGTTTCTATGGCCATAGTTTAACTTAAACAGAAAAGCCAGTGAAAAATTCCCTAATGTTATTTGATGGCAGGAGTTTCCAGTACCCCCAAACATTTTATTAGAAACAGATGTACTGGGAGGGGCATGTGGGGAAAAAAAAATCTAGCTATTTTTTGGCTGTACTAGGATTTGAACTCAGGCCTTATGCTTGAGTGCTCAGGCACTCTACCACTTGAGCCACAACCTGGCCCTGAAAATCTAGCTATTTTGATAAAGGTTTTGCTTATTGATAGCCTAAGAAAAGCATTTGCTCACTCATAATTTTTGTATTGATCCTAAGAATGCAAATAAGGAATAGGAGGTTCTTAGTGACAGTCCTTAATTGAACTAGGATGTTGAATGTGTGATAGAGCCCAGTAGAAATATCTTCTTTATTTTCTAAATAGTTCCCTAGATTATCTGTTCGGATTTAGAAAGAGGGATTTTTATTAGATTATCAGGCTTTGTGAAATTTACTTATATTTGGGCAAGCCTAAGGATGAGGTTACTACAACACTACTGCCTGGCTTGGAAAAGGCTCAATCTAGGTATAACTTGAGTATCCCTAATCTGAAGTCCGAAAAGTTTTTGAATGCTGACATTTGATGTTCAGAAGGTCTTGGATTTTGGCACATTTGGAATTTTAGGTTTTCAGAACAAGGATTCTCAATCAGTAAGGTCTACACAAATATTACAAAATCTAAAACATTTATGGTCCCAAGCATTTTACATAAAGGATGACTAGTCACCCTACCTGTATCTGTGAAAACTTTTTATTGTGTGTGTGTGTAGTACTAGGGTTTGAGTTTGGGGCTTCTGGCTTGCTATGCAGGTACTTTACCACTTGAGCCATACCTCCAGCCCTTTTTGCTTTGGTTGTTTTGGAGATTGGGTCTTACTCTTTGCTGAGGACAGCCTGGACCATGATCCTCCTATTATACTGGGCACACTCTAACACACCCAATTTTTTAAAATTGAGATGGGGTCTTGCAAACTTTTTTTACCTAGGCTAGCCTGGAACCACAATCCTCCCAATCTCTGTCCCCCAATAGCTTGAAATGACAGATGTATTGCTGTTGTGCATAGATTTTGGTTGAGGTAGGTTCTCACTTTTTGCCTGAGCTGGTTTTGAACTGCAGTCCCCCATCTCAGCCTCCCAAGTAGCTAGGATTACAGGCATGAGCCACTGGCACTCAGCTCTGTAAAACTTTTTATAGACAATGATTCGTAAGAATAAACTGAAAGGCCCCTGATCCAAAACTGTCTCAGAACTTACCTCCATGAGAAGCATAAAGAACTGTTTTCTGTTTAGTTCTAAAGATTCATCGTGTGTATGGTCATTAAGTTCTACTAGCCAGTTGGAGCCACGTTAAAGGTTTTGCATACATTAAGTTTAACTAGCTGACTCAGGATTTGATTTCTTTTTTTCTTCTTTTTTCCTTTTTTTTTGGCAGTGTTTAAACTCAGAGTCTTAAACTTGCTAAGCAGGTACTCTACCACTTGAGTAGAAAAAAATCACTTTTAGTGATTTTTCATTTCTTTACTAAGGACTTTTCAGTATACTGTTAGAGGAATCAACATCATATATATATTCCTTTGATTAAAGACCCATGTAGCATTTATTTCCAAAAAAGTTGGTTTGGCCCTCAATAATATTTTCTATTTTGGTAGTACTGGGATTTGAACTCAGGGCTTCACACTTGCTAGGCAGGTACTCTACCACTCTATCAGCTCTAAGGATATTTTCCTTCATAACTTAAAAAAATATACTTGCATGTGTGTTATGTAGTACACACAGAAAACTCTGTGTCTCCTTCTGTAAGGAATCCTGAAAGTCTGAAGAGTCACAGATACCTGATCAGGAACTGTAAGATGTCAAAGAATGAAGTATCAAGATAACTTGTAGAAGACTGCTTAAGCTCTAACTCACGTGCCTTTAATAGTTCTAGTTACGGAAAATCTGCCTTCTGGTTTAAAACAGATTTACAAAACATTTCTACAATTTAATCCTCATTATTGTTTAGGACCTACCTAAAATGGCACTGTGATGGGAGGTGTTTTATACTGGTGTAGCACAAATGTATTTGTCAAGACAATCAATATTTGGGTTTAACAGGTCCAGAAGATTCCTCTCAGTAGCTAACTGTAAAAATGCTTATTTATTTCAGATAAGATTGTTTCTGAAAGAATATACTAATAAAGAACCTAGTTTTTTTTTCTTTTCTTTGTATTACTTAGTTTACTAGTAGCAATCCTGGATTACTATATTGTAACAGGATTGCACAAGTTTTGTTTTAACTTTAGAGATTACACATTTAGTTTTACATTTAATTCTATTTTCTGAGCAATAATTAAAAGGGTACTTCCTCAGAAGTTCAAGGCCAGTCTGGGCTATGTAGTGAGACCCTGAGGCATTAAAAAAAAATTTATATATATAGATAGATAGATAGATAGATAGATAGGTGGTGATACTGGGGCTTGAGCGTGCAATCTCATGCTAAACAAGTAAAATTTTTAAATGAGATTTAGCTGTACAGTGTATTAGTTTGCTAGTGATGCTAACAGAATACCACAGAAATTTAACAGAAACTTATTGACTCAATAGTTCTGGAGGCTAAAAGTATAAAATCAAATGTTGGCAGCTCGTTTTGAGGGCTGTTAGGAAAAGGATCTGTTCCATGTGTTTGGCTTTAGGTGGCCATCATCTTTTTTTACAAAGTATTCTCTCTGTAGGTGTCTGTCCTCTAATCTTCCCTTTTAGAACGTGAGTCATTATCATTTTAAAGCTTACCACACACACACACAAACACACACACACACACACACACACACACACACACTCAAATAAATAAAAAAGCCTACCACAGTCACCTCACATTAACCTTGCAGAGGCCCTATCTCTGAATAAGATCATATGTTGAGGTACAGGGACTTAGGACTTCACCAATTTAACCTATAACAAGTGTGTAAGAAAATAAGCAAGTTAGTTCTTTGCTGACACATATCTTCATACTAGTAATCACTAGAATCATAGGTATGTAATTTGCTTGAGATTTGTTGACATTTGAATACTTGTATATTATACAAAGACAACATATTCCAATTTTCTCTGACATATACTTATACCATTTAAATTACTTTCCTTTTTTGAGATTAGGAATTCTAGAGACTAGGTTTTCAAGTTAAAATTCAAGGTAGTGTTTTGCTGTTTTTATTTAAAAAGCTTCTCTGAGTTAAATGATATAGAACTAGATAGGTCTGCTTATTACAGTAGCATTACAACTTGACTTTTCCATTCTTTTTATGGTACTGGGGCTTGAACTCAGGGCCTACACCTTGAGCCACTCCACCAGCCCTTTTTGCATTAGGTATTCTCGAGATAGTGTCTTGCGAACTATCTGCCCGGCCTGGCTTTGAACCACAATTCTCCTGATCTCTGCTTCTTGCTTAGCTAGGATTGCAAGCATGAACCACCAGCGCCTGGCTTGACTTTTCCATTCTAATTTATATGTAGTGTAGTGGCTTTATTCTTTTAAGTATTTTGACCAGCTGGTTTTATTGTTTAGTGATAAGGCACTAAGTTACTTCTATACTATGCCAAATATCCTGATAAAAACTGGAAAATGTGTCCAGCTTTACTTTGAATGTGGCTTTTCCTCATGACAATGAGCCTTACTGACTTTAGATCTGCAGAAACTTTCAGCTCATAAAACTAGGTTATACCAGGTAAAAATAAGCTTATACATGCAATTCCCAGGGGCAACTGCTGTGTAAACTCCACACGGGAACCACATTTTATTTTCAGGCACTCATGAATGAGGTTTTCCTTGTGAAGTAGGAAAATTCCTCTTGTGAAGTGTGCTTTCTTTTTAATGATCATAAGGCCCTAACAGGTTTTTGTCTTTTATTTTACCTTTTTCAAGACAATCAAAACATTGAAATGTTTACACAGATGATTATATAATTCATGAAAAGACAATGCAAATGAACCTAAAATGATAGGACAAGGATTTTTTGGAGATTTTTGAAGCTCTTGCTCAAGTAATTTCTTCGAAATAATATTTAGAAATGAAAACCAGCTGGTGGCTAACACCTGTAATCCTAGCTGCTCAGGAGGCAGAGATCAGGAGGATCATCATTCAAAGCAAACAGTTTGAAAAAACTCATCACAGAAAAGGGCTGGTGGAGTGGCTCAAGGTTGTAGGCCCTGATGTCAAATCCCAGTACTGCAAAAAAAAAAAAAAAAAAAGAGAGAGAGAAATGAGAAAGAACCTAAGAAATTACCATGAGTGGGGGGAAAAGCCAAATAAGAGAGGTAGAAAAAGGTAATACTAAAATACTTCACAATGCTTGTAGTCAACATACTAATAATATTATCAACAAAGTAGTTTTATATTTATTTGACTTGGCGAGGTCTCTTGGGTCCTTTCTCTGGATAAATATCTTCAAGTACTACAGTGACTGCAAGTGAAAAAAGGGCCACTAAAGTGATTACTATCCTTAGGGCTTTGAACCAGTTGGGATAACATGGCAAGAGAAAAAGATCAACATGTAATGCTATCCCCAAACCTATCATTACTATGACTATAGCTTCTCTGAGTCCTTCAGAAATTAGAAAGGCAAACCATGAAAACAAAAGAGGAGCTATACTATTTGCTAAATTAAGGTAGTCTGGTTTGGCTGGACTACCTTCTGGCAGAGTAAAGCCCCATCTGACCCCTCCCAAGAAAGATAGGAAACTGGCCCCATAAGCTACCTGAGTAAAAGCTAATAAGGGGATATAAGTCTTTGTCATGACCATGACCAGTGGTGGAGCAACAAAGGGGATCAGTCCTCCCAGAGTTACATATAATGCTGGCTTTGGGCTGTGAAGCAGGTAAGTGATGTTCCTTGGTGGCCTGGCTGGAAGATCTGTTTGCTTCTGCTTTTTCTTAAAGCAGCATGGTGACATATGATAGCATTGTGTCTTGCTCATACATGCTTGAAATGACAGGGAAAATGTGAGGCCTTGGAAACAAAGGGAAAATGTGCCGTTGGAGAGATGTCTTGAAAGAAAATGCATCTATTTTGCTGGTTCCTAGTCTAGTTGTGAAAGGATACTTCAGTATCTGTAAAGAAAATAGAACCAGAAAACAAAATTAAAAAACAAAAATCCCTAACAGGTGGGAACATGTCTCAAGCAGCAGAGCACCTACCTAGCAAGCTTAAATCCCTGAGTTCAAACCCCAGCACTGCAAAAACAAAAAATCCCACAAGATTTCTTAGTTCCCATCTGAAACAAAAACAAACCAAAAAATCTGTTTTCTGTTATGACATCAGATTTTACAGACAGGTTGAACTAACCACACAGTAATGTTACTGTTGGTATTAAACAGCAATACACTTTACTCCATATAGAAGTACAATTACTATGCCAACTAAAAAATAACTATGAAAAAATTATTAAAACACAAAAGTTGCTATACAACATGCAAAATAAATTAGTGAATAAAAATCTGTAATAAATAAACAAAACCTCCCACTATCTTTATCCCATGAGAGAAGTACCTGAAAGAGGAGCAGGTAAATCTAGGTCTTTAGCACTTAGTCTTCTAAACTGCTTCTTCTATGTTGCAAAAGCAGCAGCACCGATTACTATGGTAATGCTATTTTATGTAGAGAAAAGAAAATCTACTTTCCAATTTAGCTTTATAAATGCTGCATACATTCTTTGTACATGTCCTTGCCTATAATTCTAGCTTCCTCTACTTAGCAATTTAGGAAAATTACTTCATCTTTCAAAATTTAGCTTGAAGCTTTCCCTAACCTGTCTCTAGTTAGTTTAAGGCTCCTATTTTTTATATATATAATATAGTTAATATCCTATGCAAACCTCCATCAAAATTCTCTTCCTTTCCCATTCTGTGCCTAAGTGAGCAGATGCTAGACTTCAACTAAGCAGAACAATAAGTCAAAAAATGTTGGATGAGATAAAAACTGAAAGTTATTTAAGAATCTTGGTTGAGTCTTCAAAAACATGCTAGTAATAATCTCATCTTGGGACTTTTCCCCCTTTTGTTTCCATTTGAAATGATCTTCCTTCAACTACCTGCATGGCTATTCCCTCATTTCTGACCCACTTTAGTGCAATCCTGCATCTATTCTTGATGCCCCCTATTCCTCTTCCCTGCTTTACAGTTCTCCACAGCACTTACCACATAACATATTAAATATTTTACCTTTATTTTATTTTCATCCAGTCCCATCCATCCATTCCCCCTCACCCCGTTGTCGTCGTTGTCCCACCCACTTGAATTGAATACATGGGGATAAACAGAGTGCTTGTCTAGCAAGCATGAGGCCCTGAGTTCAAACCTCACTGCTGCCAATAAATAAACATTTTGTCATTTAGTTTAGTTTTGTTTTTACTGCTATGGCCCCAGCCAGAGCAATTCTTGGTAAACAATGCTCAATATTTGCTGAATAAACCAACCTTTGAAGATGCATGAGAAAATCTCTGGATAAAGTGAAGCATACTGGCCTCTATAGAAAGTATTGTTCAGGAGCAGGCCAAGCAGCACCGACTAATGTAGTTTTTCAGTGAAGGAGCTGAATCAGAAGCATGTTGCTGTGTTAAAAACAATATATCAATTATCCTCAAATAAATTTGTAAAAATTAGTAACTCATGAGAATTTCTTCCACATAACAATTTCCTTTCAAAACAAAATTATTGTTTTCAAAGAACTAGAAACACATTAAGGAAATAGATGTTTTTCTTCCTCAAACTGTTCTTTTGGTTTTGGCCGTTTGGGTGTAGCACAGACAGAAGATCTGGATTTTACAAACACCTCTACTACTTCCTAGCTGTATAGTGGACAAAATGCTTCATTTTTTTTGTTGTTGTTATTTTCTTTTTTTTTTCCATACTGGGGTTTGAACTCAGGGCCTCATGCTTGCTATAGTTTTCTCATCTTTAAAACTGAAGTTTCTGCGGAGTGCCAGTGGCTCACGCCTGCAATCCTAGCTACTCTGAAGGCAGAGATCAGGGGGACCACGGTTCCAAGCCATATCGGGGAAATAGTTGGAGAGACCCTATCTCGAAAATATCCAACACAAATAGAGCTGGTAGAGCGCCTACCTAGCAAGCGGAAAGCTCTTTCAAACTCTAATACCAACAAAACAAAAAAAGGAAGTTTTTTCTGTTCCTTTTGATTGTGTACCCACCTTAGTTACCTACTATGGGGCTCCAGACTTTATAGGTCAAAATAATGACAGCAGCAATAAATGCAGTTTAGCTGTGAGTCAGGCACTGTAACTATGTTTTAAGTGCATTAATTCTCCACTTCCGGGTATTCCCTAACGTATTTCCCAATTCACAAGTATTAAAGGTAAAAGTGATGCGAAGATTATGAGCAGAGACCTCAGGGTTAATCCGCCCACTTCAGGTGAAAACTCTCTATAATGATTCTATTTTCCCAACGGCACGCCGGCAAAGTGTAAGCCTCCAGCAAACATCTTAGGAAAAGAGGCGGAGTTTATAAGCAAAGATCCTTGAGACACCTTGGCCAAAAGTACCCACTTACTACCAACCCTTGATGACTCCCCAACTTGTACCCTTGGCGGCCCTGATACTTACTTGCTAGCGTCACGCGGGAATATGAAATGCTGAGCTGCAAGAACAGAAGGGACTCGTGGAAATGGCATTTCCGGCCAGTGCAGCTACTTCCTGAGAACTGAACAAAAATGAGTCCGGGTTGGACTTGACTTGCGCTAAAGCGGTTCCTACGTCCGTAGGGGCCATTCACTACTACTAGAAATAATAAATCAATATTCTTGTTGAAGTCGGCTGTCGAACAAGGTACCTTTACGGTCTCTATTCCAGGGCTTCCAGCCAGCAGAATCTGTCTTCAGACTTTTTTTTTTTTAACTTTGCAAAACAACTGAGTTTTGGATCGACGGGATACATCTCACTCTGCAAATGGGTCCTTTCCCACCACTACTGATACTGGGAGAACACTGTTTTTACTTCTATTTTCTTTGCTAGGTTCTAGAAACTTCATTAAGGAATAAAGAATACAAAAAGCAGGATTTTCACTTCTATGAATCAAGGTGGAGCGTTAGGAACCTAGAGCTTGGGGGTGATCCAGGAAATCATTAGTCCTGCCACCTTAGGCTTCAGTTTATTTCTTGGCTGCGTAACCTTGGGCAAGTCCTTCTCTGTCAAAGAATTGACAGTAGGCAATTTGGGTGTCCTAACGTCTTTATGGATAAAGCTGAAGACAAAAGAGAGTTCATTTATTTAGGGGTCCACACCAGACAGTTCATCCATTCCTCAGGATTCTAGGAATCCATCCCTTAAAAGGTTTAGCTTTCTTTACAAGTTAAGGCCGCGGCGAAGTCTCCCTAAGAGCAATAGCTTTTAGTCCGCCTTGGCTTTCACTTTTATTTTCTCCTCTGGCATGGCGGCACCGCCCCTTCCAGTCGAGCGATACCCAATGAGTTTTTTTTTTGTTTCTCCCGGCCCTCCCCCCCCATCTTTGCCAGAGGCGCAGGCTCCGCCAGAAACCCGCCCGTCGCCCGGAGGGGCGCGACGCCCGCGGTGCCCGAGAACTACCACTCCCAGCCGGTAGCGCGCGGGCCCAGCCGCGCAGGCCCCGCCGCACAGGCCTCTGGAGCCAGCTCTGTGGCCTGCTGGGGGCTGGAGTCTCAGCGCCGTGACACGTGAAAGGAAGGAGCGGAAGGTGTGAGCGGGTAGGAAAACACACGCTTTTCCGAAACTGGTTTGCTAATACTGTAAAGATAGTTTGGCGACGCGTGCTTGCCCAGAGGTCGTTGTCGGAAGGTGAAGAATGGGTGGGGAAGAACGGGTACACATTTACACGCCCACCCACTCGTTCACCTACGCTCAGTTCCGAGTATTGGCCCGGGGTTTTTGAGGAAGCGTACTGAACTCCGCTGTTCTCTACCTCACAAGCAGCGCGAGGAAAGGCAAAGGGGAGAAGATCACTGTGCTCCGCCTGGGCCAAGAGAGCTGGGGGCGGAGCAGGGGGTAACCGCCGATCCTGCAGCCCAGCGCTGACAGCGTGAGGCGCGGGTATCTCCATAAGGTCAACGAAGCCAGACCTGTGCGCGTGCGTGCGTGTGTGTGTGCGCGCGCGCGTAGTGTGTGTGCGCGCGGGGCGGGGTCGTAGGGACAGGGGGCGGGCCCAGCGGGTCGTCCGCTCCTCCTCCACCCGGTTTGCCCCTCCTGGGCCTTGTGGGCCGGGCAGCCATTTTGGGAAGAGCTTTGTTATGATTGTAGGCTAGTCATCTTTACCGGTCTGAGAAGCTGGAAACGGGTTCTCAGACGCCTTGTCTTGTTTTTGACTGGAACCCCGCCGCTGCCGGGTGAGTGAGAATTCCGGAAACGGATCAGTAGGGGACCCCGGAGTCGTTACGGCGCGGGACTCCACCCGCTTCCTGACCCGCTGTGGGTTAAAACTAGTTTAAGGAGGGTCTCTCACAGGTGGTTGTGTGCGGGTCCGTCCGGGAGGGGTGAGCAGAGCCCTCGGGTGGTGTGGGCAGGACGCCCCCCTCCCCCACGCGCATGGAGCCTTGCACCCGAGCGTGGCGGTGGCTCCCTCTGCAACTTTGGTCTGTGGGTCGGAACGCTCACCTGCGACTTTTGGGCTCCCGTCCAGGCGTTGGGGCTTGGTGGCGTTCGAGAGACTTGTTTACGGGTTTGTTTTTCTTTACTTAAAATGAGAGCCAGAGGCTTGTTTTCCTATTGAGAAAAACCTAAGAAGGAAAAAGTCGCGTAAGTCAAAGGTAGGGTTCTGAGGGGAGAAGGAGCGCTTTCACGCCGGCGTCCGGGTTCTCCGTGGCGAGACATTTTCTAGTAATTAGTCGGTCCAGTGTCTAGCAGGCCCCCTGCCACGGACGAAAGATTGGCCGATCTTGAAGTGTTCTGATCGGTTCTTCTATTCCATTTTAACTTCCCCACCCCGTGAAATTAAAAAAGAAAAACAACAACAAAAAGACTGAATCTAAAATGGCTGTAACTTGGGGAAGTCCCCCGATCTTTGATAACTTAATCGCAATAATACATTGTAATATTCTAGTCGTTTTTTTCCCGTGGGACATTAATTGGATCTTTTGATCTTTTGATTTTTTTTTTCCATTGAGCGTCTTACCTTGAACACTTATGGTTGGTGAAAATAAAGGTGAGGCTCACGAAGTTTGCTTACTTCAAAACTTTACATAAGAATGGGTGTGGTTTTTTCTTTTTTCTTTTTTTTGGTAGGTGCTGGTAGTATTGAAATTATGCTGTGATGTTAATTTTATCTGCTAATTTTGTGCTCTTAGGTTGGCTCGTCGTATTTGTTGAATACTTTTTAACTTTGGTATTTATTGCATAAAAAGAAAACACGGAGTTAATGGTGGTTCGTTTTTTAGTTTAGTAACAAGTTATCTGTAAATCGCATCACCAAGTAACGTGAGTGGTGGTTTTCAGTAGACTTAAATTTAGGTCTTTCCTATCTATAGTGCTGTTAAATTTTGAGACATTTACAAGTGAAATGCTCTTGCGAAAACATTCAGCAAGTGAAAACATAGTTTAGTTGCGGAGTGCCTGAGTGTTGTGCCTTTTTAAACAAAACGCTGTGGTTTTTTTTTTGCTAAAAAATAAAAATAGATCCAGAAGTTTCAACTGAAAACAAAAATGGTATAGATTGAAAACCAAAAACAGTATTTCAGTGTTTGTAACGGTGCTTTGTGTTATATAGAATGCTAATTGTGAATGAGAACTTTGAATAGTAAGTTAAACAGTAATGTTTCCTAGGGAGCCAGTTTCAACTTACTTTCATACACTCTTTCAAACACAAAAGTTTATTTTTGTTTATTCCCCTTGAAGTTTTTTTAATTCTTAAATTATTTTGTTGGTCTTACACAAAAATGACTCACTTTTTTTTCATAGAAATTAAAAGTTAATGGGGCTGGTGGTGTGGCAAGAGCACCTGCTTAGCAGGTGTGAGGCCCTGAGTTCAAACCCAAGTACCACACACACAAAAAATTAAAAGCTAGTGATTTGTGTCTTGACATTGCTACATACTGTACTTGGATGAGATCTCTTAATTTCTTTTTCACTGGGTTTTTTAAAATTTGTTTTTACTATTTTGTTTTTTTAGGGTACTGAAAACAATTTGTACATATTATAGACATTCTTTCCATTGATTCTGGATAGTTTCTTTTAGAGCTCTTGAAGTTTTGGGGGGAAATGAAAAGTTTTTATTTTGAATGAATAGAGTTTATGAATTAGAAAACTCACCAGTAGTTGTTTAAAATCTTAGCTGAGGAGGGCACATTCAGCCATTTTAATTACCTTAGAATAAGAAGTATGGGAATACATTTCTGCGTAAATCCACATGCACACTTGCACTTTTTTTTCTCCATGATGGGGATTGAACCCAGGGCCCTTTGAATGGTAGGCGACACTATGTACTCCCAGCCTATGATTTATTTTGTAATGCTCAGTTGAAGATAAAACACACAATTCTGAATCATATTTCAAAAAATAGCGTATCTTTTATGGTTTAAGTCTTAACATGCCAGGGAGAGACTGCTGCTCAAAGTGCTTTATATTTACTAACTTACTTACTTCTATGAGTAGATACTGTTTCATCCCCCATTTTGTAGTTGAGAAAAATGAGGCAGAGACTCATTCAGTCAGTAGATAACCATGCCTCTATGCGAGCATAAGCATTCTGTTTCTAAGCCATTGTGTTTAACTGCTGCCTTTAACTGGGAGAGATTTTTTTTGTTGTTGTTTTATGCTATTTATTTATTTATCTATTTATTTTGCAATGCCAGAGATTGACCAAGGGCCTCACACATCCTATGCCAGGGCCCTGCTGGGGTGATATACCCTCCAGCCCTGACTGCTGCCCTTAAACATGAAAGTAAGACTATTGGGAAGATGAGAGACATAAACATTTTTAAGGGATCCCAACTTAAAAAGTAGTTCACAGAAAAGATAAATTTTGGTTTGTGATTTATCAAATTGGGGAGTGGAATCTTAAGTGGGGCAGAGATAACATGCTACCTCATAAAGTCTCCATGGTTAATGTTGTCTGGAATTTAATATATGGTTGTACTGTTGGAGACCTAACACCTCAAGTTACTTCTAAATCATACTCAGTGATTTCTGTTTCCCACTGAAGTCTGCCCCAAACAAAACTACCTAAAATAAAAAAATAATTTCAGTAAAAGAAACTAAACTACTTTTGTCCATAGCTATATCTTAATTAGTTGTAAGGTACATTACCTAATGTGATGAAAATTGAATTTTATAGGTGATTTCAAATATACTAAGCAAGTATTTAAAGAGGCCATTTAGTTTTTCTTTACTAAAGCAAATAGCCTTCAGTAGGTGTGGTGGGCAAGTGATTTTTCATTAAAACAGCTCATTAATTCTTTTCAAGAAATTCTGGAGGCTGTGCTGTGGTGCCAGTTTCAGTGTACTAGGGGCTGGGAATATATGGGTGTCCATAAAAACATTCCTGCCAGCAAAGAACTTTATAGCTGGGCAGGTTAAGCACAAAAAACACTTGTATAACAACATAGCTTTCAGGTCTCCTTCTCATTCCTTCTCTCTCTCTCTCTCTCCCTCTATATATATACATATATATGTATACATGTATACATGCACACACATATTTATTTATTTATTGTGATTGTGGGATCAAACCCAGGGCTTTGCACATACTAGACACACTCTCTACCACTGAGCTATACTTCTACCCCAGCTATCTTAAAGTAGTTGATTTAAACATATTTATTAAGTTGATTGTCTCTTTCTGTGATCAGAGTACTTTGTCTTATGTTGTCCAAACTTCAGGCTAAATCACCAGCATGAAGAAAGGTTGAACAGTAGGTTTGAATGGAATAAAAACATTTTTTTCTCAGAAATCTCATTGAGACTGGCTATACTTTAAATTTAGCTTGAAAACTCTTGTTTGTACTTAGAAGTTTAAATTTCAGTATGTATATAACTTGTCTTCTGAATAATTGCTGACCCTGCTTTATAAATTTGCAGAAAAGTTGGGTTAAGGGGTCTTTGGATAGAGCTAAGGCTAGAGAGATACCTCAGTGGTAGAGCACTTGTCTACCACACAACATGTGCCAGGCCCTTGGTTAGAATCTAGCAGCACCAAAAAAAAAAAATGCTTGAGCTATTCCAGTTTTCATGCTGTTTATGGATTACTCTGCTTTTTACTAGTTTTACCAGATATGGTGGAAAAGGTAATGGCAGCCATTTATTGTAGACTTAATAAGCTAGATGCTGTAAAAGAGTCGAATACTTAATTTTATTATTCTTTTTAGTGCTTGTTTAAAATAAGTGATACTATTCTACATGTGTATATACAGAGTAAGAAATGAAGATTCAGGCACCTTTCTAAGACTCTAAAGGTCAGATTCCACCTCATTACACAGAGAGATGGCATAATATGCCCTTGAAGAGTAGGCACCAACTTTGTAGGCTGACAACCTGGATTCAGGTGTCAATTTTGCCACTTAGAACTTTGTGACCTTGGGTGAGTTACTTAGATAAGATTCTGTGCCTGTTTCCTCATCTGTTATATGAAGATAATACAGTACTTTTTCCTAGGGTTGTCATGATACATATAATAGAAATAATATTTGTAAGAAATTTATTTATAAGATATTTGTATTTATATTGTATTTATATATTTATTTATTATGTTAATGATATAATTATATATTTATATTTATAAGAAATATAATTTTTTATAATGTATGTCTGCAGGGAGCACTGTGTGTTGTTAGGTTATATTGTTTTTAATGAATATCATCTACATGAATCCAGTGAAATCTGCACAGGAGTTTTTCCTTCTTAGATATTTTCTGTTGACTTTTCTAAGTTATTTGAGTCAGGATCCAGGTCCCACATATTACAATTGGCCTTTTTCATGTGTATGTTTCTCCTCTGGTTTTTTTTGCCCTGGCACTTTGTTAAGGAAACCAGGTCATTCGTCCTGCAGTTTCTCACATTCTAGGCTTTCCTGATTTTCTAAAAATTGGTAATCAATAATAGAGTCTTAGATTGCAATTTGGGGCTTGGGAGGAGTCCGTGAATTTGGAGATTTTTATTCTTCTATAATTCTACAGAAGACAGAAGTAACACTTTACTTATATTCTCTCAATTTTGTTACCAGCAACAATCCAACAGTCTCCAAATTACAAATAGGGATTTGAAGCAAAAAAAGTTTGTGAAATGACTTACCCAAGATCACACAGTTAGTATGTAGGAAAATCAAGTAGGTTGAGAATCTGTTCCTCTAACTTAGAAGTAATGTATGGGCTAGAAACAAAACTATTCTTTTTTTTTA